TGGGGGGGGGGGGGGGGGGGGGGGGGGGGGGGGGGGGGGGGGGGGGGGGGGGGGGGGGGGGGGGGGGGGGGGGGGGGGGGCGGGGGGGGGGGGGGGGGGGGGGGGGGGGGTGGGGGGGGGGGGGGGGGGTGGGGGGGGGGGGGGGGGGGGGGGGGGGGGGGGGGGGGGGGTGTGGGGGGGGGGGGGGGGGGTGGGGGGGTGGGGGGGGGGGTGGGGGGGGGGGGGTAGGTGGTTTACCACCTTTTGTATTTTTCGATACATGACCTTGCCTGGAACCACTGCACATGCCTCTGTGTTTCCTCCAGATTGAGATTTTGCAGACAAAGTCCTCCTGGTACTAGACTGGTCCCCTCTACCACATATATCAAAACTGCCCAGGTACTACCATCATAGAGACCCATCTGTAGAGTTGCCAATGTTCCCTCTAAATTATTTTCCTGCACTATTGAAGAACAGTGATGGGCTGAGTGTGTCTGCAAGCTCCAGTCGCAGACCAAGTTATGAATCTATTTCCATGTCCCCATGTGCAGCCAATCCCGGTTTAGTGGATACTCTGACGTAGTGACACTGTGTTAACTCTATCGATCCCAACACTAGGAACTAGACTGCCGTCAGCTGCTAATGTCAGACAGCGAATCAGGAGACACGTGCAGCAAACGACTGAAATGGTTCAGGAACCAGACCGGTTGAGGGATCCTCCAGACGGAGACAACATTGTTTACACATCTATCTATCCCCCAACACTAGGCACTACGACTGCAGTCCCGGCTATGGTCAAACCGTGAATCAGACCAGAAACGTTCAGGCCGTCCCGGTTTAGTGGATTACTCTAGATGTATTGACACCAACGTTTTACCCATCTATCTTCCCCAACACTAGGACGAGACTGCAGTCCCTGCTGCTCCTCAGAAACACAATCCTGACTTAAACTCCGGACCCGTCCGGGGGTTTAGTGGAGACTATAATGTATTGACACTGTTTTACACATCTATCATCCCCACACTAGGGAGCTACCTGCTCCACTGCTGCTCGGTCAACCTGCGAATCGGACAGAAACGTTCAGGAACGTCCAGTTTAGTGGATCCATAAGCTAGTGACACATGTTTTACACATCTATCTACCCCCCACTAGGAGCTACACTGCAGGAGCCGGCTGCCTCTCTGGTCAAACAGCGAATCAGGACATAAGCGTTCAGGACGTCCAGGTTTAGTGGATACTATAGAGGTAGTGACACGGCTGAAAACACATCCTAGCTATCCCAACACTAGGAGCTACACGGCGTCAGCGGCTGGCTCTGTCATACAGCGAACAGACAGAAACAGGCAGGACAAGGAAACAAAAAGAGCAGGCTCAGGTTATGGTATAAGAGGTATAAACGTACATCAGTTTGCACCTTGGAGTGTGACCCTACTCTCCTTCAGGTCACGTGCTTGCGTTGTGAAGACGATGGTGCCAGCACCCTACAGCGTGATACGTTGGTGAAGGTGAAACCTGCACGCCTCCTGGTTTCCACTGTAGTTTTGCGTGTCCTGTGAAGCCTAGCCAGGCAGGCGTCACAAACAACCTACTGCCACTTCAAGTGGGTTTCAGGGGGGCGCAACTAATAATAAGGGTGCGGGGCGCAATCGCGTATGGGCGCGTCACCTCCCAGAGTCCGAAAAATCGAGGCGTGACCTCCCGGCTTGGCTCGATCGTGGCTGCGTCGGCTGAATGTGACGAAACCATAGATAGGGCGTGTCTATAGCGGAAGGGTAAGCTTACATGTGCACTACTTGGAATCTCCTCCGCCGGCCTCGCTCAAAGTGTTGGGGGCACGGTCCGGAAATTGGTAACTGTCCGATCTCGGGGGTTTAAGACGTGCACTGCGATCGTTCATAAATCGTTTGTGTGAAGGCAGGACCGATATTTCTCGACGCCATAGCCCACGTGGACCTGGTGGAGATAGGGGTACGACCAAGGGGGATGGCGAGCTTATGTCAGATCTGACAAACGCGTTCCGAAAATTGATGGGGGCGATAATGATCGCGGACGCTACCAAGGGTGGGGGCGACATTGAAAGGGGGAAACGTGAAGAAGTAAAGTTAAAGAAAGTGGCCGGAGGCATTTGTTGTTGAGTACAAACAGGACTTGTTGATTGTGAGGGGGCTAGGGATACAAGCCAAACTGTGGTTCACATAGCTCGTACCATGGTGGGTTACACGGACACATTGTAGGAGGCACGTTAACTAGTCCCAGCAGAAGCGAGGGCCCGGGGCAATTGGGGGGGGTGACACACAACCAAAGAGGAACAAAACTCCCGAGCACACAGCCCCAGGCATCAGGATTGCAGTACATCCCAGCCCGAGAATAGACTAAGTACTACCGAGACGGAGTGAGATGCCGATGCGGGCACGTGAGAAACGGGCGGGCGGCCGGGATGGGAGGGACAGCGACAAGTGCCTCAGGTGGTGGCACATAGCGCGTGCATACGAGGTTACTAAGAGACTAACAGGCAAAGGGGAAAAGCACGGGACAAAGTACAACAAAACGTAAGTAGCCAACCATCTACATAACACCTCACCACTTTCAGCTACTAGCTACACTACCCTAGTGACTACTTCACTGAACGGATTCACTGGGGCATGTGCTTCTCTCACTTCACCGGCAATCTCGATCCTACTCAACTAAAATAAAGAATAAGTGGCGAGGGTTATGCACTTTCAACTTTATGTTAGTCAAGAAGATGATAGATATGTTCACATTATTCTCGTTTCATACAGCACCCTGACACTTCTCTGATGAAAGAAACAGTGGACAAAGTGGTCAAAAGGTTCCATGCTCAGATGGATCATGTCCCATCGTTATCACGGAATGACAGTGACAAAGATGTGGCCCTCAAAGTTCCAACAGCATAATTATTTTAAAACATCGTTTTCACACATGATTTGTATAGCTACTGTGCATTGATTCCTGCTGGGGCTCCTGCTCTCTTATCCTACCGCAACGCCTTATGCAATGGCCTCTTCCGATTGCATAAAGGCGCAGCAGAGGAGGTTGTGCACGCGCCGCTTGCATCACGTGCACCTTAGAGACGTATGTTCGCCCACGCAACCCAGTCAACCCGCTGAGTCAGCATTTTTCTGCAGAACGGCACACTTGCATTTGCAAGGCTACGAGTGTTCTCCGTGGTACACACTTGGACATATAAACAATCGTGAGATAGCAAAGCCTTGGCCCGCCTGAACACCAGACAGAGCCACTTCCTTTCGCAGCTACGATACTTGATTACATTATAACCGCATGCGCGGACAGCTTAGGAATGTTGATTGTGCGCAACCTCCATCTGAAGGCGCAGTATATATATATACAAGTCCCACCCCGCCCTCAAGTGCATTCAGAACGCGCACGCGTATAGCTTGGACTGTACTATAATTATACATTGTTGGCGAGCGGGAGCGACCCAACTTGGGATTTGTCCGCGATGTTCGGGCTGCATAACGTGCCGTCAGCGCAGAGCTTAAACAAGACAGAGCTACATGTACCTGTCGCCGTTACATGCGTATGCCAGAACGGTGAGCAGGTGAGCAGAACGGTCCTTACCTTACGCTTTCAGCTCGCCTGTCGTGGTCCATCAGGCAGCTGGCATGGCAGTAGGCTGGGCAGCGATCGATGGGGCTGACCGACAACGCGGCGTGTGTTAGCTGGTCCACCAGGCAGCTGGCATGCAGCAGAGCATTCCTAGCGTATTTGCAGCTTGGAACCATGAAGTCTGATTCCAAGATTGGGAAGAGGTACAGCTTCGGTCAGTCACCGAAGGTTGCAGAGCATGCCGTCAAATGGAGGAGAGTTCTCACGCTGGCTAGATCGATCGGAGCATATCGCGAGGCACTGCGCATGTGAAATTTGTAGAAAGCGCGTACACAGCCGCGCATGCGCACTTACACGACGTACGACGGTCGGTAGAAAATTCCGCTCGAACTTAACTATAGGCTCGCACCCCTGCGCGCTCGCCGAATAATAGCTGCCATGGCAGCGCGGGGAGGCAGAGCGCTATTGGCTGAACCAGCAGTCTTCAAGGAATTTTCGGCAATCTAGGCCGTGGCTGAAGTTTTTCTCTTGAAAGAGCACCTTAGAAGATCAAATATTTTGGTGGAACCACGTGGAACCACAACTCGTTTTGCTACACTATGAATGGGAGTCCCCTAAGCTTGCGACTGTTTATTCCAGCGAGCGTTTAGCACTGGCTTGACTTCCACTCCGTCTACTACCATTTGACTCAATCCAGGTACGTCAGCTATTCCAATGTTCCAATTGCTGCCAAATACCGCAACTATATGCAGTAGACAGTGGATAGCATTAGGCCAAGCACGCACCAAATTGTTGTAGCTAGCTACTCCACAATACCTTTGTAAACTTTCCGTGAAGAAATTCCGCTAAGAACTTGTGCTTTCTGTCGATCATACCGTTTCTACAACCGTTTCTTGTATAGGAGCACTTTTCGATAGCCTGTTTGTCTTGCGGTGTTTTGCAGGGACGTGGGCACGAGAGGAGTACCAGCCCATGTCCTCAGACTTCCCTCTCTCTTTAGTAAACCATATCGCTTACTATGCATACTTCCAATACGGTATATACAACGCTTTATGAGCATTGGCATGTATGGAACGCACGTTTTTGTCATGTGGTTCTTACGTAACTACGCAAGCGTGTCCTATTATACCCCCCTCTGGCTGCCGGCAGTGCGCAGTCCCACCCCACCCACCCGTACACACGGAGGAAGCTTCTACTCCGCTGGGATCACAAAAACTGCCAGTAACATCGACGTCGCTTATCTTGACCATGTCTGATCAGGTAGGCGGGTGTTGGTCAAAAACAACGCTTTTTTTACAAGGGCAACATTTTGGAGAGCGGAGATGGGTGGTGTGTGTGTTGTTTGTTTGGTGTTGGGTGGTGGTGTGTGGTTGTTGTTGTGGTGGGGGGGTGGGTTTTGGGGGGGTTGGGGGGGGGGGGTTGGTTTTGTTGTGTGGGTGGGTTGTGGTTTGTTGTGTTGGGGTGTTTGGGGGTTGGTGGGTGTGTTGGGGGTTGTGGGGGGGGTGGGTTTTTGGTGGTGTTTTGTGTTGTGGTGTGTTTTTTGGTGGGTGTGTGTGGGGGGTGGTGTTTGGTTTGGTGGGGTGGGGGGGGTTTGGGTGTTTGGGGTTGTGGGGGTTTTTGGGGGGTTGGGTTGTGGGTGTGGTGGGGGGGGGTGGGTGGTTGGGGGTTTGTGGTTGTTTTGGTGGGGTGGGGGGGGGGGGTGTGTGGGTTTTTGTTTGGGGGGGGTTTGGGTGGGGGGGGTTGTGGGGGGGGTTGGGTGTGGGGGGTTTGTTGTGTGGGTTGTGGTTTTGTGGTTGTGGGTGGTTTGTGGTGGTGTGGGTTTTTTGGTGGGGGTGTTGTTGGTTGGTTTGTTTGGGGTTGGGGTTGTTGGGGGGTGTTGTTTTTGGGTGGTTGTGGGGGTGTTTGTTGTGGGGGGGTGGTGTGGGGGTTTGGTGGTTTTGTGGGGTTTGGGGTGGGGTGTGTGGTTGTGTGGTGTTGGTTTTTTGTGGGGGGGTGTGGGTTTTGGGGTGTGTGGGTTGGTTTGGTTTTTGGTGTTGGGTTGGTGGGGTTTTTTTTGTGGTGTGTGTTGGTTTTTGGGTTGTTGGGGGGTTTTTTTTTTGGGGGGCCATCCCGATGTTTCGTACCTAGTTAGCTACTATATACCACCGAATATCTTACAGTTGGGCATTGAAGACTTTACTGAAGTCCAAGAGGCTCTGTGGGCCGCCAGATCAAAATGGCACAACATCGGCACCCGACTCAAACTAGACGTCCATGAGCTGGAGAACATTGAAGCCGAAGGAGGGATGGGTCTTGACATGAAGTTCAATCTCATGATCAAGACCAAGTTGAAGAAGATTGAGCCATGCACCTGGAGAGATCTCTATGATGCATTAAATCATCCTACTGTTGCCATGTCTGATGTGGCAAATAAGCTTTCAGCAAAGCTAACAACTGGTAGGTTGACTGCCTCTAAAGCACAATAGCTAATTATATCTATGTATGAACAGCTGAAGTACCAAATACAAGGGCTGGAGATGCAGCGTTATCCATGAGCAGTACATCACTGACTGTGGCTAATACCTCATTTGACGGTGGAGACACCAAAGGTTACACGGGAGTAGGCAGTCAGCAAATTTCAACACTTTACATTGATACTGTCCATTGTTCTCGCAGCAGTCAAGTATTTATTTTCACTAAGGCAACTGCTAAGCCTCGTTCTCTCTCCAAGTGCACATTTTTTATGCCATTATATAGAATGTACGTGCAGAGAGGGGGAGCAAAGGTCATGGGTATAACGAGGCTAGCAACTGCCACATTTTTCGCTAACACTAGTGGGTTTGCATTTCTTGCAAAAGTATGGTTTGAATCCAAGGAATTTAATGTCTGTGCCCTTTTCCCTTTCTTTCTGACTTTCATCTGGCATGTCAGCACCACTAAATACGGCTCTATAGGGTTCCTTGAATTAATTGTGGCCAGTGTTTGCCCGTTTTCACTATGCAGGGAGATAGGGATCTCAGAGGACGAGTATATACTCATTCCAGCATTGCCCAAGATGCAGCTCGCTTTATCGCTGCCAGCCTATTATAAGCAATATACTGGCTCAAGCTAGACAAGCCCACAAGAAGACAGGGAAGTGTATCAGGAATGCAATTAGCATGAGAGAGGAATTTACACAGTACATATACACAGTCAAAGAACTCTACTCTAGAGTGTCAAACAACTCCAAACGCACTAAGCGCTAAACGTTGACAAGCACGTTGCCGGTGGTGAGTTATCCAGTTTCACAGATAGCAGCTCCTAAGAACATTCCCTACCAGTGCTTATCGGGTATACACACTCAGTAAAATTACATAAGCCCTCGGGCTGGCGCCCTCGGGATTATGATGTTCGTTAGTATAGGCGATAAACACTGAGTAGGCATGTTCTCTTCTAGTCCAAGTATTCTAAGCCGTGGGCTGTTAACTGCTTACCGGGGCTGTCGGGTACACACGAGCAAGCCACCCTTCCAGGGGTGTAGTCATGTGGCGACGTGCCTGGCGCAGAAGCCCCGCCCCCATCGTTAATGAGGGGTGAGGAGCGGTGGTGGGCAAACACCCTCGCCCTGCCCCTCACTTCACACAAGCCATAGCCGTAATAAGAAAAAAAGAAAAACAAAACGAGACGAAAACATACGCTCGGAGCTTGCTGCTCACGATTTGGCAACCCCACTCGGTCGATATGAGAGGCGCGTGCCCTCACGTGCCTCATACCCCATACCCCACTCACACACAACACCACGCATGCGCGCCCCTCTGCAGTTAACTGGGTCTAAAGGGGGTTTAACCCCTATATATTGGACAGGAAGTCCTTATCACAACATCTAGGGCTAGGCCTAGTGCAAATTTTCTGCCTTCCAAAGTTTACACAACAATCATGAGTACATTAGTAGGATGACACAGCAGAAATTCAGCATTGTATCCTGTACCGCCTCGCCACCTGTACTAATACGTATGTGCACATACTAGTAGATATTCTTTGGGGAGGGGAGCTAGAACTCAAGTATAATATACAACCATTATCATTATAATTAAGAGTCTACATATACTGATACCTACAGTAAAATGTTGTTTCAGCATTAGACAGACAGTTATTTTGGTTTTTGTCTAGTATTAGGTTGAGTAAGGCAGCTTGCGCATACGTAGCTATAGTGAAACTAGACCAGAAGAAAGTAGCAACTTAGTTGAGTAGGATCGAGATTGCCGGTGAAGTGAGAGCAGCACATGTACCACCCACGTACGCCCTCACGACAGAGAGGCTCGTCTTTTCAGGGACCATTACGAGATCGAGAGCGGGCAAGGCAACGATACTGCTTCTGTTCCAAGAGGCAGACAGACAGAACGCCCGGCCGTCGAAAGTCCTCACAGCAGAGATGCCGTCTTTTCAGCGACGATTAAGAGATGAGAGGGGAGCGGGCACATTGCCTTTCCGTTGCTACTTTCTTCTGTCTAGTTCACTATAATGCGCAGCTGCCTTACTCAACCTAATATGACACCCAATATACGTCTGTTACTTGCTGAAACATTTACCTGTAGAGTATAACGTAGCTGTATATCGTTAGTATGATATCGTGGAGTCTCGCTCCGCTCGCCCAAAGAATGCCATGCATTTCCACTAGTAATAATGTATCGAGCCGAAGACACGACTAGGTGGGCTCGCTCCGCTCGCCCGATCACTAAGTACGGTAGTACTTAGTACTAGTAGGCGAATGCATGCCATTTTTGGCGAACGGGAGCGAGCACACAATGACTCTATCTGCACGAGCCATCCTACAACTCGAACCTTAGAATCACGAAGATTGCAAGGAGGTATAGACACCTCGGTCAGGTATCGAAGAGCGCAGCGAATGCCAGCAAATAGACGACAGTTGTTTGGCTGGCTATATTTCGCATCGATATGACAGCTAGGCAGCTTGTAAAAATTTTGAAAATAGTTCCCTATCACGAAAGCGACGCTGATACAAAAGAGCCTCTCTGCTCAGGAGTCTCACGGGCACGATGTTCTCTTTCCCACTCTCTTCGACGACGAAGGGCATCTTCCCCGGACTATTACGCACATGTATATTATAATATATACGCACGACATCATCAAAGTCAGGCAGCATGTGAAATTTTGAAATCCTTTCGGATAAAAAGAAGCGCGTAATCCTGGAGCATGCGCAGTTGGACGACGTACGGTCGTAGATAAATAAATAAATATAATTATAATACTAGTATATAGGTGAATGCATGGCATTTTTGGCGAGCGGGAGCGAGCACACAATGACTGTATCTGCATTAGCCTATTTACAACTTGAACCTTAGAACCACGAAGATTGGAAAGCGGTATACAGCCTTGGTCAGGTATTGAAGAGCGCAGCGAATAGACGAGAGTTCTTTCGCTGAGATTTCGCATCGATATGACAGCTAGGCAGCGTGTAAAGAACATGCGCGTTCCCTGCTCACTGACACGATGTTCCTCTTTCCCTCTCTCTTTCGACGACGAATGGCATCTCTCAGACTGATGCGAGAGTACGGACACGCACGACACATCGGCGCAATGGTGAAATTTTGAAATCATTTCGGATAAAAGGAAGCCCGTAATCCTGGAGCATGCGTACTTACACGACGTATGCGGTCGGTCGTATATAAATAAATATATAGAAAAATCGCTCCCGCTCGCCATTAATAGGGATGACAGGTTGTCCTGCATTATGCCCATACTTTTGAGATTTTCCTTGTTTCATCACTTTCCGTTTCACTCCAGATCCAACTTCTTGACACATCAGACTATTTTGTATCGCACAAAGAGCACGTATCCAAGAAATAGCTATATCACTTTTTCATTTTCTCTTCTTCTTCTTCTTGTTGTTTGTTGTTGTTCAGGGTTTCACACAAGCGTATCTCAAAACTGGTAAGATATGAAAATCAAACTTTGCTCAAAGCTGGAACCCTGACAGTCGTGCAAGAACACATTTTTATTTCTTCTTACACAATTTTGTTTACATGTAAACAACAACAAATAGCCCAGGCAATACATTATTATAGCGACACATAAAGTGTGTGTAACTGGGTAAGGCTAATACCCAGAGTGATAAAACTTTGTACACAGTATACAACACCCATCATTAGTATCAAAATGTAACATTACAAGTTTGTACCACAACAACAAACACAGCCTCAGGCAATAAAAACTTGTAAAATGCGTTTGTGCCTATAACTTGCTTATGGTTGGTCCTCTAACAATGAAACTTGGTACACTGATGTACCATGTTGAGAGTTCATTGAAAAAGAAATTAGTAAACAACAATAAACAACCTCAGGCATTAAATACTTGTAAATGATGTTTGTGCCTGTAATTTGCTTATTTTTGGTCCTCCAACAATGAAACTTGGTACACTGATTTACTATGATAAGAAATATGAATTACAAGTTTGTAAATAACAACAAACAGCCTCAGGCAATTAAGTGCTATTTTTCCTATAATTCTGTACACTTACTTTGGAAGTGAAATAAAAATGGAGATGATGACTAACAGTCGGAGGCAAGAAATACATGTTACTTTTTATGTGGACATTATGCCCCAATGCATGTGCATGGCGTAAAAAAGGAAAGGAGACAAGTAAATTAAAAAAATTATGCGAATTGTGGAATATAGGAATGCCATAAAAAGCAAGGAGACAAGACAGGGATGACCTGGGCATGTGATGCAGAGTACAATGGGATGATTGTTACATCTTCAAACTGACATTTCTTGCTCATGTAAATTTTACTCCACACAAGCCCTATATTGATGCAAAGCACGAGTGATCTCTATATCGTATGATGTGCGGCTATGACTCGTTTCCTATGCACGTAAGAATGGTAGCAAATGCCATCTCTGACAGGTCCTCAGTTGTGAATCGTGACTGTTACCTTCAATGTTTGCTCAACTAACCAGTTTTACAATGCTGCTTTCCCTACACAATTTGTTTGCCAGTCTTGACACTACATTATTCAAAACTCATGTCATGAGTAAGAGTGGCGACAATATAGGGCTTGTGTGGAATAAAATTTTCATGAGCAAGAAATGTCAGTTTGAAGATGTAACAATCATCCCATTGTACTCTGCATCAAATGCCCATGTCATCCCTGTCTTGTCTCCTTGCTTTTTATGGCATCCCTATATTCCACACTTTCTTAATTCGCAGAATTTTTTATTTACTTGTTCTATTTTGTAACAAGGGTATATTAATAATACTTTTTTGTTATCATTAGACCAAGAAGTAAAAATCACGAAAGGAAGGATTTATAAGTTGCAGAGAGAATACATTGACTTATCCGTTTGTGCTTCTAAAGAAATGGTTAAGAAATATGCAGTTAAAATGTTGCGCTTCTCCCTCCTCTCTCTTCCGTATAATCTCAAAAAGGAGCATAGAAGGTTTCTTACTGAAGCGAAAGCCGAAATAAAACAAGCTGAATCAGCTGAGGATATAATTGAAGTTATTGTCGAACACTATAACTACCTCGACTACACTCTGTTGAAGTATGTCGTTGATCTCTACGGCAGCGATGATCTAAAGAAAAAGATGGATAAGTACGAGAATAACATCAAAGCATTTAGGAAGGAAACACGGCTTGAGATATTTTCATATGTTTGTGCCGATCATGAGCCTGAAACGGTCGGTGGGAAGTTTACCACGATGGTTAGTATGCACCACATGGACTGGAGAACTGCTACACTGGAAGATGTTGAGAAGTTTCGCATTCAAGTCTGCCGGGAGATGTCCTTGTATGACTTCGCCCTCAACTGCATGAAATTGGCTCGAGGGTGTGTGTCAGTACTCACTACAGTTAAGGAGTCGGGTATTGGCGGTTTTTATGAAACACCTTTTTTGTTATCATTAGACCAAGAAGTAAAAATCACGAAAGGAAGGATTTATAAGTTGCAGAGAGAATACATTGACTTATCCGTTTGTGCTTCTAAAGAAATGGTTAAGAAATATGCAGTTAAAATGTTGCGCTTCTCCCTCCTCTCTCTTCCGTCTCATCTCAAAAAGGAGCATAGAAGGTTTCTTACTGAAGCGAAAGCCGAAATAAAACAAGCTGAATCAGCTGAGGATATAATTGAAGTTATTGTCGAACACTATAACTACCTCGACTACACTCTGTTGAAGTATGTCGTTGATCTCTACGGCAGCGATGATATAAAGAAAAAGATGGATAAGTACGAGAATAACATCAAAGCATTTAGGAAGGAAACACGGCTTGAGATATTTTCATATGTTTGTGCCGATCATGAGCCTGAAACGGTCGATGGGAGGTTTACCGTGATGGTTAGTAAGCACGACATGGACTGGAGAACTGCTACACTGGAAGATGTTGAGAAGTTTCGCATTCAAGTCTGCCGGGAGATGTCCTTGTATGACTTCACCCTCAACCTCATAAAAATGGCTCGAGGGGGTGTGTCAGTACTCACTACAGTTAAGGAGTCGGGTATTGGCGGTTTTTCTCAAACACCTGCAATCGAAACATCTGAACTGCAATGTGATCCTGTTGTTCACGCAGTAGATGATGATTCCCTTGTCTACACTGGACGTGCATTTTCCTACACTAGTACAACTGGTATCGGTTTGTTTTTCCCAGCTGGAGAGTGCAAGAAACATGTGAACATTTCAGTCGCAGTTGCCAATGACGACTACATCCTGCCATCGGGGTGTGATGAAATGCCAATAGTGAGCGACATGTACAAAATCACTACAAGTGATAAACTCCCTGTTCCAGTGACTATACGTATGAACCACTGTGCTGTAATGGAAGAGGAAGATTCTCAAGTTTTTATTGTAGCACATGGCTCCCCACCTTACCAATTCAACCTCTTGTATGGCGGAATTTTTCCTCCTTATCAAACTTATGGGGAAATAGAATTGAAAAACTTCAGTATTTTAACAATACTTGCCCATAAACTTGGGTGGAGAATGTCGCTGTCTGCACAGGTACTTTATCACAAGAACAACGCTGCTGCAACTTTTGTTGTCACAAAAAATACACCGTCACTCATTCGAGCTGTCCAAAAACAGTATTCTGATGCTGTTGCGGAATCAAGCAACCCAATATTGTGTGACTACACCACAAGAGCAATTAGCCTCTCAATACCAGATGAACCACAGGTTGGATGGATTGTTGTACCGGATTTTAATCCTCCGCAAATTCTAACCCAACTGATCCGAGAATACAGGGAGGGGAAAACACTACCTTGCATACAACTGAATGTGAAATCCACAGGGCAAGGGAAACCAAAGGAAGAGGAACTGAAAATTGGAGTCGAAGGATGTTCAATTAAATCCTTCACCCTTTTCAGTAAGCATTTATTCCCATCATCTATAGCAACTCAATTACAAAGCCAGCACCAACCACTAGGCCTTGGACTCCAGTCTACTGCTTCCCCCGTCACCACTGTCTTCAGTCTCTTCAAATGCCCCCTCTCTGCCTAACACATCAACAGAATCACTTGCATCCCCTGCACAACCACCAGCCAGCATGGCTCTCACAATGTCAGTGGAGTCTGGGGCTCTTCGGCGAAGCAATATGGTGTTCACAAGAGGGGTAGACCCTGATAATATTGTTAAAGTGCTCTACAGTAACTTGCTGCTGACTCCTGAAGAAAAGGCCAGAGCCACACAACAGACACTGACAGCCCAACAAAAACTGGAGGAGATTTTCCAGGCGATGGAGCGTCGCATTGCAGTAAACCCTGGAGACCTCCACGTATTGATTCAAGCTCTCAAGGCAGAACCTGCAATAAAGGCAGTCGGTGATAGAATTGAAGGTAAAGGAATCTATCATAATAGCTACATCACTATGTCTTTGTTTTTGCAGAAATTTACGATGAGGAACATGGGAAAAGGCAGGAGTAAAACAAAAAATAGCATTAAACTAACTTATAATTATTCATGTATTTTTGTTCGTTATTTTTTTCGATGGCTGTTTGTGCCCACTAAAGAATAAGCGCATGGGCGCGCGTAAGTTTTGAGTGCGTTTACCTGAGTGCGTTTACAGCTAGTTTAGCGTCTCGATCGCCCTTGAAAGACTCAACATGGCAGGTAGACTGGCGAGATCTCTCCTCCAGAGAAGGTTCGGAAGCTCTCTGCAGCGGCTGCCAGTGAGACTGGCCAGTGGAGAGGCCTACGTACCTGAGAAGCCACCAGTGGAAGGTGAGCCTACTGTAGGTCATCTGAGAAGGTCATGGGATGGCGCGCCTCGCCTCCAAACCTAACAAACGTCTGAGCGTGTATAGAGAGAAGTATAGACGTGAGTTAAGGGTAGGTGCTGCCAATGGTGGCCGGCGTTGGTAGCTGAGGCTAAAGCCCCTCAATTCAGATCTTGTAGTTCGTTGGGGGTTAGACTCACTTGCTCTCTAATAGATACTGTGCTGCACTCTAAACTATGAGCACTGGTTGTCTTTGTTTTTCTGAGCTCTGTCTGTTTATTGCAAGCAACTCCTCCTAGGTGTAGCTGTATGGTCACATATTGTGTGTAGCCTAACTGTGCAGTAATGAGTCAGTAGACCAGTGCATTTATGTATCCTGTATTCTGGACACTCTGACTACATTATGTGCATAGGGGGTGTGGCAAAAATAACCGTTGGTGGGTGCAATACTTCAGAGAGTTTTTGTCCGTCATTTTTGAAATTATGCAGGCATTGTATATATACAGTGTATAGTTGGGTCCAGAGTTCAGTGCTACCCTCTTGTGGGGCAGTGTCTTATGGCAAGCTGTCCAACAGTGACAGTGCCCGTACAGACCTCACTGGATCTAAATTACACATCATAGCAGTGTGTTTGTTACCTTGCGTGGTCGGGGACGGCGTACTTTGTTTGGAATAATAATGTATCTTGAAATATTATTGTACCAGACCTTTAGCCAGCACAGTATTCATCCGCTACCAGTATACATTATTTACACATTATGCAATCACTAACCCTCTCCATCTCTTAGGGAAGACAGAGAACATGAAGTTGGTCCATGCCATAAACAATGCTCTTGACATCGCCATGGAGACTGACTCCACTGCAGGTCAGACACTGCCCACCAACTACAGCATGTGATTGAAGAATGATGTATTGCTGCCTTCCCTGACACACATGTACAACACAAAAAGTGTCCATTTGTCGGAAACAAACGTACCATTATGCGATAGCCCATACTGTTGGTGTTAGTAGTACACTGTAGCATTGTATATTTCCAGTTCTACGGCAATCTTATCAGCCAAGTGCTCTAGAGGAACGTCTATTTTAGATAGTTTTGTCCAGTAGCATATACAGTACCTTACGTTGTGTCTTGCACTGTACGTGATGTAGTCCATAGTCAGATTGAGTAACACGTTTGCCATCTCTCCTCCATGCAGCCATATTTGGGGAAGACGTGGGGTTTGGAGGAGTCTTCCGCTGCTCTGCTAATCTCAGAGATAAATATGGTCAGTGTACTCTATAGGACTGTTCAATTCACCCTATGTTCATGTACATAGTACACAACTGGTTGTGAATCATGTTAGTTGCTTTCCTATTGCCTTTGCCTTGTACACCTCACCGCGTTGTTGACACGTTTATTTTGTTGAGACTGAGGTTTGCAAAATCGAAACTGTTCAAGCTGACGAATTACATTTGTTAGTGTGTGTTTTTATATTTCCGTGCAGATGTTCTATACCTTCATGTTTTATTGGTGCTGTAATGTACATACGGTACATTTGCACACACTGCGTTTTTTGAATGTGGAGGCACTGCACACGTATTACACGTCATAGATGTGTGCATACAATAAATTATCCGTCGCTCCTTTACTATGTAGGTAGTATGTGCCTCACACTTTCATAGAATGTAAATATGGGCCGGAACTGGTTGTTACATGTACGTTTCGTTCTCTACCCGTTGCAGGCAGTAACAGAGTGTTCACATGTACAATACAGGTCACGTGACGAAAGAGTCATGTCATTGTTGTTTCTGTGTATATATGACAGGTGGTGATTCCTCGTGGACCGAGTCAGGCCAAGGGTCTCCTCCTGGCCTCCATACGGGACCAAAACCCAGTCTTCTTCTTTGAGCCCAAGTGGCTCTACCAGGCAGCCGGTGAGAGACACACACAACTTGCATCTTTATGTACGTGGGGGGAATCTCATTAGTTCAGAACCACAAGTGCTGCGCTCAACTTTGCCTTTATAAACTTGTGGTGCCAGAGTGGTATGCGCTGCTGATGAGGGCCAACAAGCCTGTCCAGAGCTTGCATCTTTTTTTTTTCTCTTGGCATCACATGGTGTATTTTGTTCATGTGGGGTGTTTGAATCCCAGCAAGGGCAGCTCTTCTTTTTCCTTGCAAAAAGAGTTTTCCTGGGAGCCGTTGACTTGTTTGCTTCTTTGCCTTTCTACCTCGTTGTTGTCACATGTATTCATGCAGTATTTAGCAATTGCAGTGTGTGTATTTTGTGCAGTTGTACGTATGTGTGTGTTTGTTTGCGTGAGGGGGAGTGGTGTTACAGTTGTTTCTTAAAACCTTCAGTCAGTGTGCTGGACACATAGAGTTTCATGTTCTTGTCCTTCAGGCTCATTCTTACAGCCCTTTACTCTACAATAGATGAATGAAAAGCACTAAAGTGCAAACCCTCGGCGAACTGCGCATGCGCGGTACTTCTAATTGATGGGCTGGGCTATAGTATGCGTTTACCCGTGGTTGCTTGTAGCTCGCGAAGAGTCTGACACGGGCTAGATACAGTAGTAGATAGCATGCGTGAGTCGATACACGACCTTCCTTGTGACTTCTTGAGCCCCCAAGGTACACAGAGCGAGCAGATCAGGTCGCAGTAAGCCCAGTGCAATTATGCATATTGGCTTTTTCACTTGTTTTCACAGCATATCTCTCGAACGCAGTTGTTTCAGGTAAATCGCCCTTTTATTTTTCAGGCTCGCCTAGTTCTGAAGCCGCTGGTATCTCTTATAGTCCGCCTTCTAGCCTGTAGTGCCAAAATAAGCGTCGACACACACACACACAGACAGAGACAGACAAAACGACTACCGTAACCCTCACTGGGCATGCGCGCCGAGGGTTAAATAATTATGCTGACTCATATGGATTATGGGACATAATGCGGAAAAAATTAGTAATTTGAGTTTTTGTGCATAATCTACACTGAACCTCAATCTCAGGATTGGAGCAGGTGGACGTATTAAAGTGTCAGACTTTGGAATGGCCGTAGAGAGAGGTTCGGAGGGTTACTATCGAGTTGCCTCTGGGAAGACGGAGAAAGTTCCAGTCAAATGGATGGCTCCAGAGAGCATTGAGGATCACATCTACACCCACAAGACTGACGTGGTGAGCAACCTTTACTACCTTTCTGTATCCATGTGTTTTCCTGTGATTATGCCTCACGCGCAGGGGCTTTAACAATTCTTGGAGAAGCATGAACCTACAAAAAGAGTTGCATACAAATTATGTGCAGTTCACTAATTTTAGACCGCAGTCACGCGCAATTGACCAATCACATTACAGAATTGCGGGGGGGTTTATTTTTCATAGACACCTCGTTTCAGGTGTCTAATGGCGTTTGCAGGTGGTCTACAGCAAACTCCCCGTACAAAATGGCTATTCTCAAAAGTCGTTATCTGCGCAAACCGGCCGATTCCGCGTTCGGTATATGTAAGTGTAGAAGGCGCGACTGGCAAAGTAGCTCTTTTAAAATGCGTAGTGCACCTGCAAGAAGTCTGTGGACAGTCTCCGGAGCTCGCGAAAGTCAGAAATCACGTCAATATTCCACGAAAAAAGCGTCGGCTTCTTCAGCTCTGGCGATACACAAACACATTGGGCCGTTGCCGTGCGTTGCTAACCCTTTCAAACGCGCACCACCAATGAGGGCGTTTTATGATTAGACGTAACGATTTTTGACGGGGGCGGGGGGCTGTCTCCTCGGAGTCTCACACGTAAAAAAAAAAGAGCGTCTTGTTCCATCCGAAGGTAAGGAATGAGGAATGAGCGCAGCGTTGCTAGCTTGTTGCTACCCATTTGAACGCGCAAACACCAATCAGATACTCCGGTCTAAACCGGTTAGACGCGGAAGCTCGGTTGTCTACGCTACCATTGCAACCCTCGGGGCATGTGGGTAGCGCCCTCGCTGCGCTCGGGACGCCAACATTCCACAGCCCCTCGGGTTGCAATGTAGCGTAGACACCTCGCTTCCGCGTCTAACCTATATATAGACCTGTTTTTGTTGTCCTCTACATATATGCAGTGGTCTTTTGGTGTGACATGCTGGGAGGTGTTCACATGCGGTGCTGTTCCCTATCCTGGACTCAATCCACTGAATGTTCCACGGGAACTAAAACTTGGCCGTAGACTCGAGAGACCAAGCAGTGCTGTCTGTTCTGATGAAATGTAAGTATAAAGCATTTTACACAGTGAAGAATTTTCATAGCCCGCCCGTGTTTCTATGCAACAAGGGAAGATCTGGTCTGTTGATTTTAGCCGTTGAGGTAGATTGTAGCTCAGTATATACACGTGCATAATTATGTAAGTGAAATTTCACGATTCACACAACATTACAGCAGTGAGCATGGTCTGTTAGTCGGTCGATACGTAAAATAATTTTTCCAGTTGCTCATAAAGGAGATGGGACGGTCTGTGTCTTTCCTTTGGAGGATCAGTTTTCAGAGGTTTATTAGACTTCCATAATAAAGTCATGTGGAAAAAATGAGGTATATAATGTTTCTGCACTGACACAGATGGAGCATGCTGCTGCGGTGCTGGTCTGACGATCCAAAAGATCGGCCAAACTTCCCCACACTTATGGAGATATTGTTCAATCTTCTGGACAGTGACACCACCTACATCAACCTCATTTCCTAAAGACTTTCTTCTGTTTTGGTGACATTTTCTGTAGTAACTATGCGTGGGTGTATCAAAGTACCACCCCGTGACCCGTGCTATAAATTCCACGTTGCAAATGATTGTGTTATATAATATGTAAAATGTAGTACGGTTTTGAATTTTCACTCCAGAACGCAAACGGCCCCCACTCGGGAGCGAGTGTCACGTGATCCTGTCGCTCTAAACTCCCGTGAGATAGTGCTGATATATAATAATTATAATAATAATGGCATGAAGGTGGTAATGTTGCATGCTAGGTCTCAACTACTAGAGTCTGTTTCTTGGTTGTCCTCTCAGGACCGTGTTGGTCAGAGGAAGAGGAGGAGGTGAGGGGGTTGTCGAGGGTGGCGTTGTACGTCCCCTGGAGAACCGTGTCCTTGTATCCCTTACTCAGCTGGGATAAATCATACAGCAAATCTGTTTCCAA